GATGCTCTTTAGAAAGAGGGTAGCGAACACAGTTGCTCCCCGTCTCAAGTTCCCAGCGAGTAAAGCGCACACTCATCTCCAGCTCTGCTTTCCCCTGTCCCATTTTCCTTCTGCGGAATGGTGAGAGCTGAAAATTCAGTGCTTTTTCTTAACACAGTAACGACTAGAAACCACAGCAAATCACCGGGATCCTGGGTATCAAGTGTGGTGATGGACATCAGGCATTCATGTCTGTTAGTGCCATGACTGTCCAGAAGCATTCTTCATGCCCTTGAGCTAAAGCATCAAGTGCCTTTTTAATCCTCATTTTATATTTTAAACAGTTTAAAAAGTCAGTCTTTTAAAAGGATTATTCAAGCAGCCTTGAAGGATTTCCACGTTTTCTTGAAACACAGGTGCTATTCTTCCTTCCTGCTTACTTGTTAGAAATGCATGTACTTGGGGCTAGGGGCGTCGCTCAGTGGTAGAGCATGCACTTACCATGTTCAAGGCTCTGGGTTCGGTTCCTATCACCAAAACAAACAAAGCATTTACATATATAAACCCAGAATACTGACAATTACCTGCAATTCTCAATTTTGCTGTTATAGTAGTACCCAGTTAATAGAATAATAATTTGAATTCTCCTTTGGGAGTGCACAGAGTTTCATTTCGCTTTCTATGGTCCCTGTTCACATTTGCCGTGCCTTGAATTTTTTTTTTTTTTTGCTGGCAGATCTGTTCTACCATGTTTCTGGGCATGTATAAGAAAATTTCACAAAATTGACTAAAGTTTCTTCTTAGGTCTTGCCCAGTGTTGCTGAACCAAACATGTATGACTCCGTTGTACCTCTTTGTCACTTTGAATCTCCTAACTCCTTGGTCAGTTATATCTCAGAATCAGAAAAGAGTGGAATGAACCTGAAGCCTGAGAAAATTCTTGAGCTGATTCCAGACTTTGATTAATAATTATTGATTTCCCAGTGATTTATTTAAAACAATCCTATCTGCTTAAAACTGTGCTCCTGGGAGTGGATTGCACACCGTTCTTAGTCCCCGCAGTACTGCAATGGTAGGTTTAGCCATGCAGGACTGCAGTGGTAGGTTCAGCCATGCAGGACTGCAGGTGAGTTTAGCCATACGATACTGCAGCGGTGGGTCCAGCTATGCAGTACTGCAGTGGTGGGCTTAGCAACCTAGGACTGCAGAGGTGAGTCTAGCCATGCAGCACTGTGCGGTGGGTTTGCATCTATGGGTTTACAACAAGATGTATTTTTTATTTTCCTTTTGGAATAGAAAACACATGTACATGTAGCTCTTTTGTAACTTCCGGGGGACACCTCCTTGCCTGTTTTCCTCACGTTCACACATGCTCTTTTAGGAGGAACTGCAGCAGAGAAAGCTATCGAAGTGTCCCTCCATTCTCAGTTCCCCAAACTAGCAGGCCCTGCCACCATTTGGGTCTTTTGCCCACATACTCTTTCGCTGACTCTTTAAACACACACATGCGTGGATGCATATGCAATTCCTCCTCGACACGTGGTTCATCACATTGGTTATCCACTTGCTTGTCCCTCTTCACCGTACAATTCTGGTCATTATTATAAGTCAGTGTGCATCAGGTTATGTCTGCGAAAAGGTAGTTTTCTTTCTTTGCTTGTTGCATGTGTATGTAAATTTTCACTCAATATGTTTTCATTATTGTATATTAATTATGCATAATGAGGGAAATTGTTTTCATACATGTACACAATGTATGTTGATCATATTCACCCTGTTTTGGTCATCTCTTGTTCTCTTCCCCACTCATTCTGACCCCTTTCTTCCCAAGTGGCTCCTTTTCCATTTTCATGTTTTTTGGGGATAGGGTGGGGTGCCCAGTTTTATTTGGAGGATCATGGGAGGAGGCTTGTTTATAAGCCTACTGGTGGCTACAATACTGAAGAAAGTGTCAATGTATAAAACTGTAGAGAGATATAAGAGATAGATAGATAAATAGATAGATGATAGATATAATTTTTCAGTGCTTGAATATTTCTTAATAGATAGAAACAAAACAAACCCAGAATCCTACCATCACTGAATCATGGACTGAATGCTTCTGCTCACCAAAACCTCCTAGATTCAATTTCCCAATGTCTAGTGAAGCTATATTTGGAAATAGAACCAATGTGGAAGGAATTATTTAAAAATGAGGCCCTAAGGATGGGGCCTAGAACTAGATTCCTTTGGATTAGTATCCTTTAAGACAAGACACCAAAGAACGTCTTACTCACTAAACTTACACATCAAGTAAAGACCAAGCCAGGAAGAAAGCACTCATCAGAAACTGAATCAGCACATTGACATCATCATCATCATCACCACCATCATCATAACCACCACCGTCATCATCATCATCATTATTATTATTTTGCCTCCAGAACTGTGAGAAAGGGAATTTCTGTTGTTTAAGCTACCCAGTCTCTGGGATTTTGTTACAGCAACTAACTGGACTAAGACAGGGTAAATTCTGTGGTGTTCCAAATTCTTTCTTTGTTGCTTCCCTTCCTGTTTGGGTTTTAGACACAGGCACAAAACAAAAAGGAGGAAGAGGGAAGGAAGAGAAGAAGGAAGAGGAAAGAAAGGGGAAACAGATGCTGGCTAGGGATTTGTTTTCTTTTGAGTATGCTTGGCAGAAACGATGTTTCCAAGCCTAGCACGAATAAACACCAAGTTAAAGGTCAGACAGCCTTAATAGCCGATGTCTTAAAGGTAGGCAGCCAGCTAATGCCCCTGGCTCCCAGCATGCCAATTTTCCTTTGCAGATTCCTTTTTTATTTCTGCTTCATGGACCCAGAAAAGAAAGCAAAGCCAGGAGGGGTCCTTCCCTGTGGGGAACAGCCTCTGGGAAGCAAATTGACTTGGACTTGGCCACTGGGTGGTGTCCCCAGACATGGCCCCCTCTTGGTGATGTCCCAGTATGTGGTAGGCTCACCAGCAGTGTGGTCCAGACAGAGCCGAATGGGACCCTTGCTGTAAGCAGTGTCTATCCTAGATCCAAGCAAGAGGGGTCTTTGGACTTTAACGGGTCTCACATTTTGATCTGCCACTTTACCTTTGCCCATCCAGAACACATGCTCACCCTTATAGACAATACTCTGGGTGCCAAGATGCTGGGGTTCCCTGCCTATGTGGCCCTGGCCTTGTGAGAGCGATCAAACCACTACCGTTTGCCTTTGGGGCCCTCAGGTAGGCTGTGGACGTCTGTTTTGGGGGGAAGCACAGTGAGTAGAAAGAATTTGTGGGGGATTCTCCACAGTGTTCACGAGGCTCCTTGTAGTTTGAAACAGGGTTGGGGCTGGACTGAGATGAGAAAAAGTCAACAGCTCAGTGTTCTCCTTTTTCAAATATCATTTCTAATAAGTGCTTTTCAATATTCTATAACTACTTAGCTTTGCTGCTTCAGTCCCAGTCCCCATGGGCTGTGTAAAAACTTAAAAAGAAAATCACCTACATGTTTACCTCTGCTTTATGATAGGAGTCTTTATGATAACAATCTTAAGAGATTGTTAGTAGTGGTGCATAAATTTCTGAGGAAAACAGATCACAGAGATTAAGGTAAGGAGTGATAGATAGGAAAAGTTCAGGTCAAACAAAGAAGAAAAAACTTGGGCAATAGGAGCCTTATCATAGTCTGGATCATAAGACACAGTAAATGCAACATCTTGGCAATGAAGATTGGGTTTGGGTCTTCAGAACCCGGTGTTTGGAGCCTCTCATCCCTGTAGAAAATGGTGGGGACACTGATGTTACTGAAAGGAATGCGGCCCTCAAGCGATGAACCACAGCTTGTCCCCAGGTTTTGCTGTTGGCCTGGTAGTGACCTTTGCAGCGAGAGAAGCGGAAGAGAGCTACCGTGTCAGCGCGTTGGAAACAGGAAGCTGTCAACAGTCCCTGACCTTGACTCACAGTTTACCCACGGGCTTCGAATTAGCTTGTTTATTCTTCACAACTTAATGAGCTACTACTCCATTTTGCAGGTGAAAAAAACTGAAGTGTAAGGTGGTTTATTAACGACTCACGTGTGAGAGCAGGAATCCTGTTTGTCTCGACTGCAGCCCTTATGGCTTCCTGTATTGTGTCAGGAGACGCTCTCATACGGTGGGAAAGAAAGGCTCTGAGGCAGCATCTCCTGACCTGTGCCGGTTCGCAGCATAGATGGGCAGTGCCACTTAACTGGCTTCTGGGCTGGTAAGCCAGGAGTAGCAGAGACGACGCACTTACTCTTTGTGACTTGGTTTTGTTTTCATGATTTCTTTAGAGGGCCTTCTGTTGCTGTGGAAATGAAGACTGAGAGTAAATCCTCTGCAGAGCTCACACACTTAGGGGCGGAGCACAGAGTTCACACAGTTAGAGGCGGAGCAACGGAGCTCACACAATTAGGGGCGGAGCCACGGAGCTCACTTAGGGACAGAGCCACAGATTCGGTTTGATGCTTTGTAACTCCGTAGACTCCTTACCTGTTCATTATCATATTTACTTATTTATCTATTATTTATCTATTTGTGTGTGTGTGTGTGTGTGTGTGTGTGTTGGCATACATGTGTGAACAGACCACTTACGGAATCCACAAGACAGTCTGTGGAAGTCGGTTGCTTCAGCCATATATGAATTCCAGGGACTGGACCCAGATTATGAGGCCTGGCAGCAAGCCTCCTTACCATTGAGCCCTCTCACTGGCTCCATAGATTTTTCTCTTAAGAATACTACTAGATTAGCTATTTTTTTCTCACTGTGGTGACAAAGTGACAAAATTCTTTGAAGAGCAACTGAAGGGAAGATGGGCTTATTTTGGCCCATTGAAGGGCCAGCCCATCACCAAGGGGAAGGCATGACAACAGGAATGCCGAGTGAGTGATCGCATTGCATCTGAAGGAGGAAGGCATGATAACGGGAGTGCCGAGTGAGTGATCGCATTGCATCTGCAGCCAGGGAGCAGAAAGCAGTGCATTCTGGCTCCTTGCTTTCTCTCTCCTTCTGCTCCATCTGAGACCGAAGCATATATTAATTGGAATGGTACAGAGGAGATGAGCATGATCCTCTGCAAGGATGACACACAAATTCATGAGCAGTCTATCTTTTTGAGAGCGGTAGATCACTCCACTCCCCCCCACATCCCTTTCTCATCAGTGGTGATGGTTGTGTAGGTTGTCTGGATGCGGCTTCCTGGAGGAAACAACCCAAGTTGGGAAACAGCGACACGCTAAGCATGCAGATAGAAAAGAGGATCCTTGATTATATCTTTGGTTGTGGTTATAGATTATTATTATTATTATTATTATTATTATTATTATTACTGCTGGTTTGTTTGTTTGTTGTTTGAGATGGTTCTCACTCTGTAGCTCTGGCTGGCCTGAAACTTCTCTGTAGACCAGGTCAGCTTCAACTCACTGTGACTCGCTTGCTTTGCACTCCCAAGTGCTGGAATTAAGGACGTGTCCCACAGTGCCCAAACTGGTGACAGTTCTGAAACAGCACTCTGAACGCCCTTGTCTTAGGGATGCTCATCACCAGAAAAACAGAATCTTCTCCCTACTGTGTCGGTCCTTTCTGCTGGTCCTACGTGCCACACAGACCGCTGCAGCATAGCTAGTTCAGTTAGCACCATCAGTATGCCATCGTATCGTTAACACTTGGTGAATGTTCACTCCTGCCAGAAATTGTTATGCTTGTTTGTGCATTATCTAATTCAATCCTCACTGTAGCCTGTAAGATAAGAGCTTTTTCTTTTGTAATTTTTGTTTTACATTACTGCTCAATGGAGTTAATCTTTCAAAGGACTCAAAATGGTAAGTCACCAAACAACATCTGAAGTCCCAGACACTTAACTTTGGTTGTTTTTTTAAATCATTAATCCTTGCAATCCAACAGATGTTTTGTTATCGTTGTTTTGCTGATGAGGAGCTTGCAGTTTAAAGAGATTTGTTGTGGGAGTATCTTCCACTGCCTCAGCCAATAGTCTGAAGCATGAGCACAAAGTGCAGCGGGGAGCGCCTTCCGCTCCGTCAACCAATAGCCGCTGAAATACCAGCCCACTGGGGCGTGGTATATTTCTCTTTTAAAAAGAGACACAGATCCCGGATCAGGCTTTCTTGGTTCCGGCGCTTGGTCCCGGCTCCTGCTCCAGCGACTAGGCTCCCTTCCTGATGGTTTATGGTGTATGTAAGTTTTACCCCCCAAAATAAATAACCCCTTAAAATATAACTGGTGTGGGATTGATTCGCCGATAGAGATTAAGTTCTGTCCTGCAATGGTCAATGGAGGGCACAGACTGGGGCCTTCCTGGTTGCAGGCCTGTGGGTCTAGGCTCTTCCCCTACTGATGTGCCTACTCACCCTCAGCCTTTAGCTCTTCCTCCTCTTCCCTGTGCTATCCCTCTCCCCCATGCTTTGTTCTTTTCTCGGTGACCCCTGATACTCATCTCTACTTGCAAGGTTCAGAACTCTTCCCCTGTATCACCTAGAAATAGGGAATTGTGCTGGACAGTTTGATGTCAACTTGAGTCATCAGAGGGGAGGGAGCATCATTTGAGAAAGTACTTCTGTAAGACCGGGTTGTACCCCGGCCTGTAGGGCATTTTCTTAATTAGGGATTGATGGGAGAGGGGCCAGTCCATTGAGGGTGGAGTCACCCCTGGGCTGGTGGTCCTGGGTTCCGTAAAAGAACAGGCTGAGCAAGCCAGGATGAGAAAACCAGTAAGCGGCACCCCTCCATGGCCTCTGCATCAGCTCCTGCCTCCAGGGTCCTGCCCTGTTGGAGTTCCTGTCCTGACTTGCTTCGATGATGGACAATGATATGTGTAAGTCAAATAAACCCTTTCCTTCCCAAGTTGTTCTGTTCATGGTGTTCCATCCCCGCAATAGTAGCCCTAACTAAGACAGGTATCCTGCGTTGGCCCTGCCTTTTGGCAGTCCTAAACCTCTGTTGAAAAGACGCAGACCGTGGTGGCTACAAAACAAGGAGACTCACACACACAGAGCTCCTTTCCAGCTTGTTTCAGTCTACTGTGCCAGGGCGCTGACCAGAATACTTTCATGGGCTTGAACTCTGTTTCTCTGTAAATCAGATGGGGCAGGGTGGGAAGAGGAGACTGGGGAAGCCTCTGCCACCTTTAAGCCAAGGCAGAATTGAATATTGACAACGTTTTGTTAGATCTTTAAATTTTATTTTATGTGTCTGAGTGCTTTCTTGGCCTGCGCGGATGCCTGCGCACAACACGGATGCCTGATGCCTACCGAGTTCAGAAGAGGTTGTTGGAGTCTCTGCAGTTGAAGTGGCATATAGCCGCAAGTCAGTGTATGTGTCCTGGGAGGTGAATTGAAGCCGTCTGGAACAGGGTTCTTAACTGCCGAGCCATCCCTCCAGCCCCAGAATCCTGATGATGTTAACACAAACACACTGTCTACAGACCAGAGCAGTACGGCGGAAAGACAGACAGAAAGACACGTTGCTAACCTCAGGGACAGGATTGGGTCTAGATCTGCAGCTCTCAACCTCCCTAAGGCTGGGACCCTTTAGTACAGCTCCCCATGTTGTGGTGACCCCCCCCCCACCAGAAAGTTATTTTGTTGCTACTTCATAACTGTAATTTTGCTACTGTTGTGTAATG